TGATTATTTTGTGCCCAAATATCATTATTGAAATGACTCGATGATTTTTCCCTCAAATCTAAGACTTTCTTTGTCAATGTGCTAAATTAAATTGTCTCATGAGTTTTAGATTCTATTTTTTGATTATCAAGCTTAAATCATGATATAGTCATTTTTAATGACTATTTTATTTTACTATTATGAATTTGCTATGTTTATTATTGAAAAAGTATTCTCTAAACTCTATTATACATGAATGGATACATGTGAATATATGTTAAATGAATGATTGAAGTCAATTATTTCTAAATCAAAACCTCTAGTATTAAAATAATTGTAATCTACTTTGTCATTGCATTTTATGGTTATGCTACATATTTATTTTTCTTTTATTTTCATTACATACCATTTTTTTTTCTCATTTTTTTGCTAAACTTTTTAGACATTGTTATAGTACTTGTGCAATACTTTAATGTTAAATGCCAACATTCTTGACTGTGATGAGTTTTGAATATGTGATCTCCTTCTTGGGAGTGTCACAGTGATGTCATCGAAACACAAGGTACTTGACTTTTTACTCATTTTCTTTGTCACCCAACATGACATGTTTTTTTTTTCATTTTAACAGTTATGTTTTTATTTTCTTCTAATTTTTGTAGCAGGTTGCTTCAAACAAGTTGAAGAAGTGCTTAAATGTTCATTTTTTTGTAAGAACACAAGTATACATTCTGAATATAAGAACATTAATTTTACAAAGTGACTAATTACAAGAGCTAAATATTGGTTATGTTGTGCTTCAATCCTTGACAAATACTAGCTTCGTTTCTTAAAATTTTGCCATCTTGTACAATTTGGATCGTGCTTTTAAACAGTATAATATTATGAAAGTTACAAATTTTACACTTTTATGAAAGTACTTTAAATAAAGAACATTTTTATGTCATTTTTATATTATAAGGAATTTTCTATAAAAATATATAGTTTGTCGAAGTTTCAAAAATGGTAGAATTTTGAGGTAGAAGGGAGCTAAGAGATAAAGAAAATGAGTAGAAAAATATATGTCAATAAAAGAAAAATTAATATGCAGTATAAGCGTAAATGTAAAAAACATGAAGTAGATTACTACTTTATCACTAAAGATTTTGATTATGAAATGGTTTACTTTAATATTTCATTTAGCATATTCACATGTATCCACTCACATATAATAAAGTTTAGAGACTAACATTTCAATAATAAACATAGCAAATTCATTATAGTCAAATAAAGTAGTCATTAAAAAATTAATATATCATAGAACCTAAAACTTATGAAACAATTTAATTTAGCACATTAACAAAAAGGCTTCAATTTGAGCAACCAAATCATTGAATCATTTAACAAACATATCATGGGCATAAAATGAAATAAAGTGTTTTGACTAAAATTTCAATAAGTAACAACACAAATCTCTTACAATAAAATAAAATAAACAATCATTAATTGTCATAACAATCAAAGTTAACAAGTCATATTGGATATCAATATTTAAAAAAAATTAATGTTCAATAACAATCACATAATTTAAACTCATTTTTAATAGCCGCATCACCTAGCAAAGTTTGAAGCAGACCTGTTGGTCAGGAGTGTGGATGGCGATAGTGCACTTGAAGACGGAGCAAGATATTATTTTTATTGTTTTTTCGTTGGTTATTTCTCTTGTTGTAAGACTCTTGCATTAGGATTGGATGATGGGAGGTCTGTTTGACCGTCTTTGGCTCATTTATGCTCATTACACGATCAGCGGGTCATATTGTTTCTTTGAAGGTGATTGAGTCTAAGTCCGGTTCGAAGGCTGACGGTTGCTTGTGGTTCTTTTGTCATTTCACTCCCTATCTGAATGTTGTAATATCAATTTAAGCCTCCTTCTTCCCAAAAAAAATCACTGCATCGCCTCCTCATGTTACATGTCAGTAGCACAAATGTAGTAATAAGCATTCAACATCATCACAACATATCTCTCATACATAAAAAAGCAAAATTTATAACCCTAAATGAACAAAAAGTAGATTGAAGTCATGATTGCTCATAATTATCTGTTGGTTGAGAACTACAAAAAAGAGAGCTATTGAAATGAAGAAAAGAGAAAGAGGGAATGAGGGTTGTGGAAAAGAAAGGGGCACATGGAGAGGAGAAGGAGAGAGGTAGAGATTCAAAACATGGTTTGAAAGTTTGAATGGCTCAGACAATAATTCCGGCAACGAATTCAATGATATCAACTCTGTTAATTTTCTGGCTCCATTTCCGGCGACTCCAACTCTGATGAAGAAGTGAATAAGATTAAATATGACACAAGTTGATATGATGAAAATGGGAGATGATGTGATTTACACGGAAACCAATTTTTTATATCCAGACACTAGCTAGTTGTGTGTATACAGACAAAAGGTGTTTGTGCACATATTCTTATCTACCCATTGACATATTTTGTAACACCTTGATCCAGTGGGCCCCAAGATAGTTACTCTTAAATACTCTTCAAACCTCTAGTATTTTCCTCACAAACCAACACATTTAACTTGGAGTTCTTATGAGATGAGCATGCTTAAAAGGAAATGCACCTTGTTGGTATTAGTAGTACTATTAATACCTTTAAATTAATCTCAAGTATTACATATTTACAGACACATACAATTTGTTCAATTTAATTTGTTCACACAGACAAATTTTATAAAAAAAATTCTATACAATTGTACATTTTTTTTATTTGTATAAACAAACATTAATTTATGTGCAATATGACCCTGACTTCTATGCAACATTTTGTCTATGTACACAGGCAGTGAAAGCAAACCAGTGTCTGTATGACTGTATACACAGACATGTTCTTTTCGTGGCAATTTTTTACAAAATGTTACCTTTTCTCGATTTCATTTTATCTTATAGATAAATTATATCATTATTCAATATTACATTGGTGATATTTTATACAGTACAAGGACAAAAATTTCGCCAACCATTCATTTTTAATATTTCGATGATTTTTCGGTGACTCTTAAGCACCATTTTTTTCGGTGCACAGACAAAAATAAAAGTGAAAATAATGACGAAAGATGGAGGATGAATAGAAGGTAAAAAGAAAAAAAAGGAAAAGGAAAGTTGAGAGAAGAAAGAGGAAACAACAAAGAAACGGGAAGAAAGATAAAAATAAGAATGATAAGTATGATGGAGAAGAGAGAAAGTGGGAGGGAAAGTAAAAAAATGCCCCGTGATTTATATATGGTGTATCTGAGGGTGTAACTGAGGGCATACACCTAGCAAAATTGTTGAAAAAACAAGACTATTTATTTGGTGTGCTAAGACTACCCGCAATCATACTCCGCCAATAAAGCAAAATTGTTGAAAAAACAAGACTACTGAAAATTGCGTATTTTTTCAATTTCTGTTTTCAATTCAGCATCGTTAATATATTCCTCCAACATATTTTTTATTTTATTAAATCATTAATTTATGATACATCAAATTTTTTGTTAATTATGATTTAAAAAGTCACACATCCCGATGTAAAAAATAAATAAATTTAGAAATTAATAATAATTTTTTTATTTCAGCCCTATTCTTGAAAAAAACATGCAATGCAAAAATAATATTGTAAGTATGAGGTCTTAATTTTAGCATTATGATGTGACTAAGAAAAATTTTGAGACCAAAAAACTCATAAAAGTGATTGACACTTTAAATTTATATAGGAAATATTAATGTCATATAAAAGAAAAGAACGTAAAATATTATGAATTTTCATATATATTTTTAAAAAACTAGGGTATAAATTAAAATGTTATTTTTAAAAAATTAACATTTTTCTTGCCACTGCCCCACCACCTAATTTGTGTCCGCTAGCAGCATGCTTCTCTCCCTTTTTCCACCATGTTTTCTATTTCTTTTTTCTCTTGTTGCCACAAAGCCAATTCCCTCTTCCAATATCAATATTGTATGGTCTAAAAGTGTACACATTTTGGGTGTACTACTATGTTTTTAAAGCTTCACTAGCACAGTAGCATGTCTTAAAAATACTAAATCCGTCCCGCTAAGATGTTCCTAGTTTGATCTACACACATATTAAGGAAAATAGGAAATAAACTTATCAGGGGGTAAAATTTACTGTTTTGACACTGTTTGATACTGTTTTGCACTGCTTTACACTGTTTTGATGTAAAATAACTTTCCATTTAGAAAAATGAAAACTTCATTTTGGGACTACTAAAAAAGGATAGCAGGAAGATCATAGTGGGACGGAGGGAGTGAAAAATTTTAAAATCGAAAAAAATCCGTTTGTACACTTTTTCTACACATACTTTTGTGAGAGGACTATTTTTTGTTTATGAAGATTATTTTTTGTTTGTACAAAAAAGTGTGTAGAAAACAGGGGTAGAGACAGGGAGGGGCTGGAAGAAAAAAAAAGTATATATCACGTACGGAGTATTATCTTTTTAAGGACATGGCGCCTGTAACCATAAGCAGAGTAGTCTTCCCGTCAGGACCATCCGGAAACGGGACCTCAACGTTTGGGCCCCTTCCCGGTGGAATTTTTTGATGAAACTTTTTGAGCATGTTCTTCATGAAGTCTAGTTTATCCATACCAAATTTCAGCTAACAATTTCATCGGGAAGGCAGTCAAATGATTTTTGGAAGTTAACTGCGCACTTTATATACAATGCGCCGACGGAAGTCCACTTTCTGAAACAATCATTAAACACGCTTTCTTATAACCAGACATTTCAGCTACATATAAAATGCAGTCAACTTCCAAAAATCATTTGACTGCCTTCCCGATGGAATTTTTAGCTGAAATTTGGTATGGATAAACTAGACTTCATGAAGAACATGCTAAAAAGTTTCATCAAAAAATTTCACCGGAAATAGGCTTAAACGCCGAGGTCCGTACGGAGGTCTGTTTTTATAGGTCCTCACATGAACTTCCCAAAATGTGTGGTTATAAGAAAGCGTGTTTAATGATTGTTTCAGAAAGTGGACTTCTTCCCAAAAAAAAAAAACAGTGGACTTCAGTCGGCGCGGTTCCTGACTCGGCTAGTCGGCTGAGATACAAGAATCTCCCACGAAAAAACCAGAACAAGAATTTGTACGAGTATCCATTACTCCACCGAACGAGAAGAAACAAGAATGATGAATTCGTGCGAAGTTCTTCGGTCGCCTGCAAAAGTGTCTTTGAATTGCATTGACCTTTCCATCCCTGACATTAAAACCTCTGCTTCTCTCCTTAAACAGGCACTCTCTCTATCTCTATCTGAATGTGAGCATGAGATTAGGAAATTTATGTGTGCATGAACGTTATGAAAGAGGCATAAATTTAAAAGTCGTGATTTTTAATACGGTATCAACTAGATGATTCCTTCAGGGTTTAAATGTAAGTTTTGGACTATACTACTTGTCTATTTGAAAGTCCTTGAATTTGCTTGTATTTGTATCGATTCACTAGGCCTCCATAGAGTCTGGATTTTTCTATGTGATAAATCATGGAATCAGCCAGGAGTTCATGGATGAAGTCTTTGAGCAAAGCACAAAGTTTTTTGAGTTGCCATTGCCGGAGAAAATGAAGCTCCTTAGGAACGAGAAACATCGAGGCTACACTCCTATGCTGGACGAACACTTGGACCCAGAAAATCAAACTCACGGTTTGTGTTTCTTCCATCTGATGAACCATACATTTGTATTCTGTTATGTACTTTAAATCTACCATGAGTCCATGACCTCAGGGTGGGGTGGTGGTGGTGGTAGCTGTTATCACCTTATTTAACTAGCTTAGAGTTGAGAGTTGAGTTGATATTGTATCTTAATGTAACCCTCCCTACATATTGTAGAAGATGAATTTCTCATGTCTGTGGTGATAGACCACAGATTCAGACCGGAAAGAGGAAAATGAGTTGGATGGGAGAAAACTTCCAAGTATATTTGTTATTCAACTACAAATTGTCTTGCTATAGCAATATGTTTTCCTCTCATACAGGATTACAATTATAATTTATAATTCGTAAAAGAAACATATCCACATATACAATCTGCAAATATTACAAATCACAGAATGATGTTAATTTTGACAAAATGAGTTACGAGAAATGATACTTCGTATATAGCCCCTCAAGTTGTGGACATGAATGGTGCTTAATGCATTAGAAGCTTATCTGCTACTCCCCCGTTCCCCTATAATTTCCATTTTTGGATGCCCCTATTATTGTCTCATGCCATATTTGGTAACATTTGTGTGGCTCTAATTCATTCTTACTTTATTCCCACTTTATCAACTCATTATCAACCACACAATTCTACTTTTCTTAAAAACCACACCACTTCCTTCTGTCCCAATAATAGGGGGACGGAGGGAGTATTTGTTTGTATCAATAAAGATGTTTATAGATGAATGGAATATTGTGAATCACCCACTCGCTGTGATTAATAAACTGATTATGTTTAAGATGTATATGTGTTAAATGGTTTGGTTTTAACCATCCAAGTGCTTGGGCTCAGATCCCATCCTCAAGACCAGTCCAATGGTTTGATTAGGGCCCGTCCAACCAGACACGCAGATCTGCCCACTAGATGACAAACTACTTGTGTTTGCTGCTTGAACTCTCAAACTATAAATATTTGTTCACTACCATGGTGAAGAGCAGGCTGAAATGATGTAGGGAGTGTTTGCAACAGCTTCTGCTTTAAAAAAAGCACTTTTGGAGTGATTTGGAAAAAGTGATTATTTGTAAAAGTTGATAGTGTTTGAGAAAAAAGTGATTTTGAAAAGTAAAAGTTGGTAGTGTTTGGTAAAATAAGTGCTTTTGGTGTATAAAAAGTGGAAAAGCACTTTTGACACGAAAGCCGAGAAAAATAAAAAATTGGTAGTGTTTGGTAAATAAGTGCTTTTTTAAGCCAAAAGCTGAGAAGTGCTTTTTTTAAAGTGGTTGCAAACCAGCCTGTAATCTACTACTGATTTTGTGTGATTTTTTAACCCGGGGAAGTCCTTTTATGCGTAGGACTCCTCTGCTCATGGTTGTGTGTTTGATACAGGTTGTGTAACATACTACGTGATATTGTTACTGTTGGTCAGTCCTGTGTTCTCAGTTGCAATCTATTATTCTTAACTAAAGCTTTAAACACTTGTACATGAAAATTGTACAGTTCTGTATCACATCATCCATTGAATATAGCATCTTAGATTGGTCAAATACTCCATCAGCTGCTATGACACTCTTTACCATAAATAGTAATGGGGATATGGGATACATCTTGACACACCCCAAAAATTTCATTTTGTACTCCCATTAAGTGTATATTATTTCACCCCTAAGTTTTCTTCCTATTCTGTCCTTGAAGGTTTCACAGAACTAGCTTTGTGTTGACGTTTCTATTTAATTTGGTCTCAGGGGATTACAAGGAAGGATATTATATAGGTATTGAACTACCAGAAGATCATCCAGAAGCAGAAAGACAATTCTATGGGCCAAACAAATGGCCAAATGAAGGTGGTTTTTGTTCTTATATGCCATTTTCTCCTTAGGAAATAAAGTTAATGGACTATTTGAAAGATAATTTACTCATATTTAACTTGACTCTTTGTTTGCAAGATATCTTGCCTGGATGGAGAGAAGCTATGGAGAAGTATCACCAACAGGCACTGTAAGTTCTGATATCTGGACCATGATTGGATTTCTCAATCCAGATAGAAAGATCATGTTGTATTGTTGTGTATACATTTTTGTATAATTGACATCTTTTTTTAAGAATACATGTAAGTTTTTGTTGTTTTTGTTTTTGTTTTTTATTTGTTCCACTTATCAGTTATATCATATTCTCTTAGATTTGAAAATATTCCATAACTCGTGTTCTCCAAATTATTTGCTTTTCTGTGATGGTTCCTATTTTCCAAAATTGTTTTATAAGGGATGGCTCTTTTCTGTATAGCCATGGGTTATATTCTACTTTGTTTGTTTATACATTGTGTACACTTTCTTTAATTTAGTAAGGTGGCAAAAGAAATAGCAAGGATCATAGCTCTTGCACTGGACATGGATGTTGATTTTTTCCAGCAGCCGAAATATCTTGGCAATCCTATAGCCACTCTACGCCTGTTACATTATGAAGGTTGACAAATACATCTGTAATTGAATCATAGTTGTCATGGTGCATGGCGATCGCCATGGCTCAAAGGCATTTTTCATGGCGCATATGACGCTATGACGACAGCCACTTTTCCATGGCGATGGCGCAATATGGCGCACGCCATATTTTGGCATTGACTACTATGAATTGAATTATGTTTGTTCTGTATGGTTCATGATGTGTGCATGTGGAAATACATCAGGTAAATGTTCTGATCCCGCAAAGGGAATTTTTGGAGCTGGTGCACATAGTGATTTTGGTTTTATCACGCTCTTAGCAACTGATGACAACTACGGCCTTCAGGCAAGTAAAATAGTGTAACCAATTACTTTTTATTACAATTTATTTACTTCTATTAAGTGAAATTATATGTAATTTATCTTTGGGGTAAGGTGTAGATACACATGGTGTAAATGGCATATTGTAATCAACCCTTAAACTAATTTAGACACAAAAGTACACATGAACCATATGTGGATGAGAGCATATATAAGCCTAATTTAAGTTCAGGTACATTTTTTCTTAAAGAAAATGTTCTAAAAATCACTATTCGCTAAAGCAGTTCAAGGATTCACATATTCCCTTAAACTAGTTTTGGGTCAATTATTCTAAAAAATTTAGTTTATTGATTTTCAAGCGCTCTATTAACAGAGCGTTAAAAGTAGCATGGTTCCTTTCACTTAATTTGGTAAGATAACTCTTGGGATTAAAATATATACCTTCCTCCATTCCATACTAAACTTTATAATTTCCTTTTTGGGTGTCTAACAATAAATAGTAAACAGTAAACTCTATTACTCCCTCTGTAATTTTGCGAAATCTCCTTATTTAGCTGTCCTAAAGAACTTTGCAATTTCCTTTTAAAGTTATTTATCTTTCTTATGCACAAATCTCAACCACACAATTTTACTTTTTTTTTTTTTAATTTTACGTGTAAGTCAAACTTGGCCAAGTTTAGTGGGACGAAGGTAGTGTTTCCTTTTTTTGCGTGTCTAAAAATAAAATTCACTTTCCTTTAAAGGAAAGATTTGCATGGTTGACAATGTATCTTTCTGTTTTAAATGAACCATAACTACACCATTTTATTATCATAATAAGTGTGTAACTCCCAAATGCAAGTAGTAGTATATCATGCGAGGTCCAATCAATTACTGGGTTATATTTGTGCCTTACCCGTGAAACAGTGTATTTTAAGTTGATATATTTGAGTATAATTGGGCAAAAAAGTACTCTCCCCATCCCCATAATGTGCTACATTAGACACTTAATGGTTATGGATTTTCCAATTTGGCCAATAATATACATTTATGCAATATGATTGATTATATGAAAGTATTATAAAAATGTTTTTTGTTTAGACTACTCTCATAATAAAGTACAAAATACAGAACAACAACATTACCTTAGTGTTGCAAAGGCTCCCACTTACAGTGGGGTTAGAGAGGGTCGGATGTAAGTAGCCTTACCCTTTTTGGCCCTGTACTAAAACACAGAGAACCTTCTTCTTCATAACAAAGAAGGGCGGACAATTTAGAGTGAGACATTTTGCTTTATTCCATCATATTCCTAAGCCAAAAATAGTGAGTCTTTGGCTACATAGGAAATGATGGAAAAAAGTAAAAAATACACAATTTTAACTAAAATATACTACCTTCATCCCCCTTAAGATTATGGCAAGAGGTAGTGATGCAGTTATTAAGTAAAGTGGAATTCTGTGATTTAATTCAAATCGGCAAAGTGTGAATGAAGTAAGAATGAATTGCAACTGCACAAATATTACCAATTATGGTATGAGACAAACTTAGTAGGATGGACAAAAAGGGTAAATTGGGGCAAAGATGGGGGGACGGAGGGAGTATCATTTAAGAATATATCTCAAAGTTCATCATCCTTGACCACAAACGTCAAATGCGGCCTTATAAAGTGGGACAGAGGGAGCATCCAAAATTATATTAGGGTGTGTATCCCTAGACATAGTTCAAATGTGTTTTTGTGCTCAAACTAGGGTAGCTGGATATGTTCTGCGACTTATTTGAGTGGCATTTTGCACCTTAATCTTACCCTTTATTCTTTCTCAGATCTGCAAGGATAAAGAAGCTAATCCTCAGGTTTGGGAGTATGTAGCGCCATTGAAAGGGTATGGAACTGTCTTTATTTGTGTTTTGTATGATGAGCACCAAAGAAAAAAGAACATGCCCACACTTTCTTCCAAAAGCTATATGTTTGTGTTAATAAGCATGAATCAAGTCTAATTTGTTATTTTCGTGTGAAATGCCATTTGATATAACATGTCTAACCTCTTCAAAACAAAGCCATTGACTGTTTTAGAGACTATTACATTTTAATTTTTTTTCTACTTACAGTGGATTCATAGTAAACATTGGTGATATGCTGGAGCGGTGGAGCAACCTTAAATTCAGGTAACTTTAAGTTCACATATATAAAACCTAGGTAGTCATTGCACTCCATTTTGTATAAACTGCGTTTTCCATGTCTGTGTGCATGTGTATATGCATGTTCCAGTGAACCGTAGTAATGTTAAATACTTAAATTGTTCAGACAATTATCATCTAGTTGCCGTAACTCATTTGTAGTGTGAAAACTTATACGAAGTACGGAGTAGTATTTTAGAAACAACTCTAGTTTGCTGCTTTTATTACTTGCAACACTCGGTTACTTCTGTCTTTACTATTTTTTCCTAGATCAACATTGCATCGCGTACTGGGAAATGGTCAAGAAAGATATTCTGTAAGTATTTGGTTTAGTTTGGTTGTTCTTCAATAGTTGTTTCACTGTGGTAGATTTATTTCACTTAATGCCTCTTGTTTTAACCGTAGTAATTACATTAATCTTCCCAAGCCTTCACTTTGTGAGTGAATTATAGCTCCCTGATTGGTTCACAATCCCCTGGAACAGTACTATTTTGAACTTCTCTTGGGATCTGTTGTAGATTTTTATTGGCAGATGCTTTCAACTGTCATACTTTTATGGTCTCAGAATTCATAATCAGTCCGGCTCATGCCCACCTTTTGCTTTCTATGAGCAGATTGCATCTTTCTACGAGCCTAGTCATGATTGTATAGTTGAGTGCCTGCCAACTTGCCAATCAGATGACAATCCTCCCAAGTTTGTACCTGTGTCTCTCTTTACTAGTGTTATGTTTTTTACCGTGGTTATTGTGATTATTATCATTATCATTATTAATATTGCTTTTTGTTGTTAAAAGCATTGGAAATAACAGTCAAATTGCACTTCATGGACAAAAATTGCAACTAGACTTGCTATGAGTGTACTTTTATGGTGACGTAAGAATTGCACATAGCCATAGTAACTGAAAGTGCCTAAGTCATATGTTTATCCTTTATCCTCATTTCGGTCATATTTTAGGTATTATTTATAATTTATTCCACTGAACTCATTCAGTAATTTGACAGTGGAAGGCTTGCCCCTTATACACCCTTATGGTGGGACCCTTCCCCGGATCTTCGTCTTGCGGGGATGCCTTTGTGCACTGTGCTGCCCCTTCGCATCTCAATCAGTAAATTGTGCACATTCAGCCAATATAACACCCCCCAAATTGGCTCTAAGTAGATCAATATCCAGTACCGTCAAGGTTTAGAATGCATAAATGTTGTCTGGATTTCTATAGGCAGTAGAAGAAAAATGCATCAACTGCTTCAGATTTCAGATTATTATTACATAGCGGCAAAATAGGCCACATATTTCTGCAAAATATTTTACTAATTACAAGTTAATTAACTGTAACCTGATCTAACAATTTTCAATATGAATGGGTTCCATTGCCAGGTTTCCTCCAATAAAATGTGAAACATACTTACTTCAACGATACATGGATACACATGTTGATCTGAATTCATACAAACAGGAGTAAGACACAAGCTCAGAGGTTGGGAGGATCATATACAACTGTCATCTAGTCCTCATTGAACTTTTCAGTGCTATTACAACCAGGGCCGGTTCTGGGGGGAGGGCAAGAGGGGCGACCGCCCTAGGCCCGAAAAAATAGAAGAAAAAATAGGCCCAATTTTTTTTCTTTATGTATATGTGAGTAGGCTTCTTCTTTTATTCTTAAGGTCAGTTAATTAGGCCTAATGTTTGATTTTGTTGACAATTTGAAGATTTAATATGTAAATAAAAATCTTAAACAGAGCCAAGTTTGAAAAGAATATATACATAAATTTAAGCAGGATCAGTTGTAGTTTTTAAAAGCAATACAATTGTTGCTGCATCAAAAAAAAATTATACATTAATTTTAAGTAGGATCGATTGTAGTCTTGACATCTCTTTAGCCTTTAAGGCTTTTTATTCATTTTAATTATAGCATAACAAATATATATAATTATTTTAGAGCCCATCTCTCTCGAATCTCATCCCAATTATTTATTTGGTTCCAAATTTCAATAAACTATATCTGAGTTTCTAATAGTAGTTTTAGAGGACGTCAAATTGGCAATCTTCTTGCACGAGTGTTCTTGGCGGCCAAACATTTTGTGTCTTTGAAAACTTTCATTCCTTCGAGACTTCAAACTTTAGACTCCCATCAGCGGTCAATAAATCATTCTTATCTTATGAATTCAATATGTAGTGATATTTTTTTCATATATCCTTTCAAAAGAAAGTTTAATGTTGTTATATGTGGTAAGTTTATTGTTTGTCATTTATTAGTAGAAAGAAGGTTGCCTATGAAGCGATTATTGATGATTTGCTTCATATTTTTCTACGAGAAATGTTTTTTAGTAATGTTTTTCTTTTTATCCGATACTCGTGTTGTTACTTTTGCCCAAATATGTAACTTAAATAATAATAATAATAATAATAATAATAAAGTAATTTTCGACTTTATTTTATGAACTTCGTTGGATATTTTTATTATAATTCTTATTTCAAAATTCATATAAGTATACAGTTTACGGTTTGTCATGGATATAAGCCCAGAATAGCGTACCGCCCATAGGCCCAGAAATGGGCAGGACCGGCCCTGATTACAACAACCTGTGGAAATATGCAAAAGCTGCCTTTTTAAATATAATTGTCTGTGGTCAAGTCTTTTAGGTAATGAGTTATGGTCTAACTCAAGGGTTATGTTCATGTATCTCAAGTTCAAGAAGTTGCTCGCATGTGAACATAATGGTGTTGTAAGTTGTGTTGGATCAACGTAATCATTTTGTTAGGGTGTATTATCATCTGTAATAATTTGTTGGTATTCATTCTAATAGAACATAAACCAATAAACATAACGAAATGCAAAAAAACAATGAAGATATGGAATTTATCAAGTTTCATAAACTTGTAAGCCAAGTCAAGTTGTCTTGATATTGAAAAATTTTCTGTGTTTTTTGTATCGCTGAATCAGTGAATTGGACTACATTTCTACATGACTGTACATGACTAGGGCTGGACTCGGGCCCGGCCGGGCCTCGGGCCAGGAAAGGGGAGGCCCGAGCCCGAACCGCCGGTGGCCGGTTCCGGTTCCGGTTCCAGGCCAAACTGGGCCGGGCCGGGCCGAACCGGCCCAATTAATTTTTTTTTGTTCTCCTATTTAATCCCCTACCCCTCCCCCTCAACCCCAAAACATCCCAAACCACCTCAAATGGCCCAAAATACCTAATCCAACCTAAAACTTAAAAAAATTTCAAAAAAAAAAAAAAAAATTAAAATCCGGCCCGGACCGGGCCCGAACCGGCCGGGCCGGTTCACCAAAACCTGGGCCCGAGCCCGGACCGCCCAGCACCCGGGCCGGGCCAAACCGAACCGGTGGACCCACCGGGCCACGGGCCGGGCCGGGCCAAACAGTGACCGGGCCGGTTCGGTCCCGGGTCGGGCCGCCTGGCCCGAGTCCAGCCCTATACATGACTTTTAGAAGTTATATTTCCAAATTTAATATTGTACCTAGATTGAAACATGAGGAAGTGATGCACCTGTTAGGCTATTAAGGATGTTTTTACTTGGATTGAAATTTGCTGATCTGGTTTGATATGAACTAGTCTGGTCGAGTAAATGTCTGGTCTATGTGTATTTTATAACTATTCAAGTCTGGTCTGTTCTAGTCTGAACTATTCTGGTCTAATCAGGTATGAGATTGAAAACAGTCCAAGTAAAGACATCCTAAGAAAAGTAGGATTATATTGCTAATATTGAATTGTAAAGTGTGAATAGAATAAGAATGAATTATAATGATACAAATATTGTGAATGAATTATAATCATACAAACATTGTCAAATATGATAAGAGACAATGTTAGGTGGTCGAACGAAAAATATGACAAAAATAGTGGGATGGAGTGATTAAGCTATATAATTCTATCTCAATTCTAACTCTTTATCACTGCAAGTCACACCTCTCATAATGGATTTATTTTCAGTTCAATGACTCGATCCATTTTTTGTCATTCTCTATCAGTCTTCATTCCATTGATATCTACAACTCCCTTACCCTAAATTGGTTGGCTTCTTTTTTCGAATGAAACGTTTTGTCCTCTTAAGCATCCCTTCCAAGCATATCTTTTTCCTACATACCTCTTCATATGGGTTGGGTTGGGTTGGGGGGGGGGGGCTTATTGTCCTCTCAATCAGTGTACCTAAGAATGAAGCGATGGTTGACATGTAAGTGGTAGATGAAAAAGACCCCGATCCTTGATAATTGATAGAGGGCAAATTTGATCATTTGATATGAGGAGAGGTTGGCATAGATTCAAACAATTGGGTGAAGTGTGAAGACAATGAGGTCTTGATGGTTCGGGACAGTGAATGCGAACTAGAAGAGGGTCAAGGGCAAGAAGGCAATGTGACTATGGCCCTGAAGCCTGAAGAAGAAGGCCATATACAAGGAAAGTTAGTGACAAAGGAAATATGGAATAAAGAGTGGATGACACAGAACTAAACCCTTTGTGGAGGAATAAACTGAAGCACTTCTTAAAGCTTCTAATACTTACGTGTGATCCAATGATGTATGATGTTGACTCAAATTAGGGGACTTTTCTATCACCCTTTATGTTCAATCCTTTATTTGTTTATGGTTTGATCAATTTCAATGATGACAATGTAGTGAGTAATTACTATGAATCTATGATTATTGTTTGCTGGTGTGCTTCATTTTGCTATAACTAATTGTTATCTGTTGTGTGATAGACTTGGCCTCACTAATTACTGTGATGAGATATATGTTCTTGTGCTTATTTTTGCTATGAGTAATTACTGTGATTTTTATCCTGATTAATTAATGTGTCATTTAGGATTCATGTGGTGCTCTGACTGGTTTTAGTCCAAGTTATTACTTTGTTGATGGGAGGCTATGCTTTTGGGACTGCTATGATCAGTGGCAGAGCCACATATATGAATGTGGTGTAATTGACACCATTCATTTTTTTTTGTAGTTATATACATAGAGTTATATTTTCAAAAATTAATTTCATACCACTTATATAAATAGAATGACAATCAATTGACATCATTCAAATATTTTTTGTAATTATATATGTAGAGGTATATTTTGAAAAAATTAAATTGACACTACCTATATATAAACAGAATGAGGGTCAAAGTATAACATATATGAAATAATTATATATTTATAACTAAAATAAAAATTATTTACAAAAAATGTGACCTGTTAAGTACAGTTACTATATATAGTAGTAACATTAGTCATAATAATTTATGTTTAAACCTGGAAGGCCAACACACCTAAGTCGGTGGGATAAATGTCAGAGAACATTTATTAAATTTTATTAATAATGTAAAATAAATACAAAATGAGAGGGGGCTAGACCAAAAATCTTCCTTTGGGAGGTATACATCCGCACAAATACATCAAACAGAAATAAAAAAAGGTATTGGGCGACTAGGCCTGACCCAGTATAAAACAATTAATTATTAAATCTTTAAATCTATGTATTCAACAAAAATAGTTTTAGTCCAGTAATTTTTTTAAATAAATTCTAAATCCGTGTATTCAACTAAAATAAATTTACATATAGTAAAGTCTAGTCATGATTAATACCTTTTACTCATTTTCAATTACTGATGCACTAGATTATTTTTCAATTACTGATGCACTAGATTATTTATTCATAGTATCTACTTAATACTTAATGAATTAATTATGGTAGTGTTACTTGATCTTTAGCTATCATAAAAAATTGTTATTGATATAGTGTTAGAGAGTACCAATAGATGAGAAAATTACACAATATATTGAAGGGGACATAGTTTTAGACAATACCAAAACTATCACCGATTATCAATAATAACACAAACTGTAGAAATAATCAATTCATGCCCAACTATATATACAAATATGTATAATTTATACGTAATTTTATATATGTGTGTATATATACACATATAAAGAATACAGTGATTTCTGACATCAAATCGGGCTATTGTACCTATTGTATAATTATCAATAAAGTATTTTCAATTTCATTTTCAAAGTAATATGTGGTTTAAAAATTGATAAGTTTCACCATCTATTTTCCTTTAGGTCATTATCATCGGTATGCTTGGCCAGCCCCCATGCGGGGGTCTACGGCGGTTTATGATTGAATAAAACCAATCATCCAAAAAGGAAAAACACATGCCCTATATTCATAATGCGCATTGGATTTACAATTGAGGATGAAGATCTTTTATAATTGAGCCAAAGTCTCACATTTAGGTGTGAGTAGATTCTAAAAGTGCATTATTATACTACGTATACCTTAATGGGCACACGTAGCCTTCCTTTTCCAGCCATTTGTCATTTGTGTGGTATGGCAGCTTCCATCTATTCCCCCTTCCAACGTCTTTATCTCGATCATCAATTACCTTTGAGTCACTAACCCACAATCTTGTACGTATGTATTTGGGTGCTGAAGTAGTTTTGCGGGGTACAAGGATCATTTGAGGCCATGAAGCAAATTAATGTGTGTCTGCCCGTGTGTGTCTGGACTAGTTTCAAATTAATTTATAGTGTAATGTTGCACCAAAACGCGAAAATCACGAGTAAACGGAAAACGTCAATTTTGCGCAAAAAACTCTTGTTTGGAGAGTTCGCAAAAGAGTTTACATAGAGTTTCTGAAATAGAAACGTACGCTTTTCCGAAATTTCCATCCTAGATAGCTTATTGTTGATCCAAAATCCAAACTGCAAAATGTCTCCAAAATATAAGAACAAAGAAAACATGGGATTTATTTGCCGAATTCGGTATATGTTTTGTATTCATTTTGCACTTGATTATGTGCTCTAATAAGTCAAATTTTATTTGCAGCCAATTTAGATCGATTTATTATAAGAATTTTATTAATCTAAAATTTGAAAGATAAATGAACTACAAATCGGAAAACTAAAAGATGAAACAAGTCGATATATAGAGTCTGAATGGTTGAATAATACTTCATTCGTCCCCCTATAATTGTTCTATTTTCATTTTTTTGATGTCCCCTATCATTATTCCATACCATATATATTTGGTAACATTTTTTTGACTCTAATTCATTCTTACTTTATTCCCACATTATCAACTCATTATCAGCCACATAATTCTACTTTTCTTAAAAACCACATCACTCTCTTCCGTTCCAATATTAGGGGGAGGGAGGTAGTATCAATCTAAGATCTACATTAACATAAATTTTACTATTTTTTTTAATTTAATGTTTAAATATCATTTAGTTTTATCAAACTAATAAAATTTTGTGAATAAAACTTGATAAAAAAGTTAAATAAATCAAAACCAGTGGGCTTTTAGGTCTTGATGGATAGTTTTTAATCATTTAGATTTAATACCGATACATTTCATCTTTTAGATCTCGAATTGATACGATAATTTTCATAATATTATGACAAAGCTCATGTTTTTATAAATAAATTTGATTTCATTAATATTTCTGTAAAAAAACTCCAAAAATTGTCATTATTCCATCTACTTTTTTTTTTACCATCTACTTTTTTTTATTATACTCTGTATTAGGATGTTTTCTTTTGGACTGTTTTCAGTCCCGGACCAGACCAGACCAAATTAGACCAGATCATACTAGATCAGATCAAATCAGACTTCCGTAGTTCAGATCAGACCAGATGAGACCATTAAATTTGAGTCCAAAAGAAAATACTTTAATTTTGTGGGACCTTTAAACAGGAGGAAAGGGACATCGCAGGACTAGCTGAACTGTGAGTCTGTGAACCTGGGCTGAGCTTTTAGCTTAGTTCCTTGAGGCCATGGCCTTAACCGCTCGCTCAGTGTTCCGCTTGGCTTCATTGCCAACTTCCGCCACCTCCGTCGCCGCTACCAATACGCTTCAAGAAATTGCTTCCAACCAACCTGGAGGTCAGTAGCAATTTAATTTCTCAAATTAATTACCTTTCCTTCAGCTATGCTCCTCATTTTATGTACACGTAACAACAGCAACAGTAATAACAACAATAATGGTGATGATAAAGAAATGCATTACTAGTAGTACCTAATTGTTGTCAGGTGTGGCGAAGGTTGTATTGAAGAAGGGAAAGACCCAACTTTTCGGTAGGGGCGGAAGCTCAATGGTTTACAGCGGAGCTGTTGACAGAATTATTGGTCGACCGCCGCCCAAGACGGGAGATGTCGTCCTCGTGGCTGATGGAACCCAGAAACCAATTGGTTGGGGCTTTTACAACTCTGTCTCCATGTTTTGTGTTCGCCTCATGCAGCTAGAGGATGAAGCCTCAAGGTTTCTTCTCCTCCTCCCTTTTCCACGCCTCAACTCATCCATTAACCAATTCATTCATTCATAGCCCATTTGTTACACTAAATTGGAGGAATTTGGTGATTCTATTGAAATTTATTAAGTTCGGCTGAAGCGGCTGAATCCGCGGAATAATGAAAAAATTATAATTAAAACATATTTTGTTAATAAAATAAAGAAAAATATATAAGAAAAATAGCTAAAATGGTTTTTTATAGTACATGTACTTTTACCCAGAAAACTAACTCTCATCTTACTTATTTTGATTATTAGACATTTTAAAGCACGAAAATAAGGCGAATCAAAAGTAACATGTTTGGTGAAAATGTTGGTTGGTAAGACAGACACTATGTTGGTTGGTAAAACTGAAAACAAAGGTCACCAAACAGGCTCTCACTCACACATTCGTTCATTCATTTCAGTTTTGGGTGTTATTTTTGAACTCACTCAAGTGACTTAACAGAGAACTCTCCTGTGCACTAAACGTTGAGGAACTGCTAGAAACCAGAATTTTTGCTGCTGCTCAGCTGCGCAACACTTTAGGCCTGCCTTCTCTCAAAACAAATGCATACCGTCTCATCAATAGTGAAGGGGATAGGTGCGTTTCTTTTACTTCATTATTATTACCTTTTTTTCAAATACTTCAACTCATTTACTATTACTGTTTAACTACGTCGAGTAGCAGCAGAAGTAACTCATTCTATATTCTTGTATCTCATCTTTAAAGATAAAAGTAAAACAAATGAGAAGTAAGTATTGATTTAATTACCTACCCTTGTCTATCTTATTTGCCTTGCATGCTACAGACTGTCAGGTCTAATTGTTGATATCTTTGGAGATATAGCTGTTGTTGCTTCATCAGCTGCTTGGGTGGAGAAGTACCGGCCGCTGGTAGAGTCCTGCATCAGTCGGATCAACGAAGTTAAACACATAAGCTGGAGACCATCGGTTGAAATCCTCAAGGAAGAAGGCCTGGATTATTCTAGTTCAACTGTTGTAGATCTTGTACGTCCTCCTCCGGAAAGGGTAAAAGTAAGACCTTTTGGCTATCTAAGATTACATCGCTGTTATGCATGTCTTGGCTATTTGGTTAGAAAGCTAAGAAGCACAGAAAATTCTCACGGCTCGACAGTATGTCGCAAACTTCAAATTCTGTTCCATGGCAGTTTCTGTAATTAAGAAGAATTGTGAAACAGATTAATTAGCGTTTTGGAAACTTTGATATATAGTGTTTGTTTAACTTTTTAATCGATTTATACGAGACTTATTCCTAAACGCGGTCTTTGTGATACTTCATAACTCAATGCATTACTAGAAATCTATTGTATTTTATGTTTAGTTATGTAGTACTACCTCCGTCCCACTAATATTGGGACAGAAGGGGATGACACAGCCATTAAGAAAAACGGGTTTATGTGGTTGATATTAATTGATAAAGTAAGAATAAAATAAGAATGATTTAGAGTCACATAAATTTTACCAAATTTGGTGTTGGACAATTTTAGTGGGATTTCCCGAAAAGGTAGAATGAGACAATATTAGCGGTACGGAGGGAGTAATATTTAATAATTTCTATATTTGAACATGTAGACTATATTTATTATTGGTTATTAAACATAGTTATATGAAAAAATGGACATATGTGTATATGAAAAAGCATGTCTACATAACATGTGAAAAACATTCATAAATGTATCGATATATTCGTGTTTATGAGCTACTTAGCTGGAGAGTCCACAACTCATGACTTCTGGTGATGCTTCTGAATGTTTATAAAAATCTTATGGGTGTATTATAACCTTCTAGTCTCTGTGCTGTTTAGGTCATGGAAAATGGCATTTCCTATATGGTATCAATGGATGGCCAAAAGACGGGCTTTTATGCTGATCAGCGTGATAACCGTTGGTTCATTTCTACCATTTCTGAAGGTCGTAGGGTTCTTGACATTTGCTGCTACACTGGAGGTTTTGCTCTTAATGCCGCGTTTGGGGGTGCATCAGATGTCACTGGTACTACCACATACGTAGTATATACTTCGTATTATCTTTTTGGCTCTTCTTAATATGCCTGATTTTGTATAAATATCATTCCATTTACAATGACATAACATATTCCATTTTAGTACCTTGTTCTCTACCTTGTAAATGCCCCTTTTTACTACCTTGTTCTCTAGACAAGGACCATTGTTTGGGATAAGCATATAACAACCAATTTTTCAAATCAAACATATTATTCCTGATATGCTTTCATCAAACCATGAACCGCTTATCTCAGAAATGGAGATTGTAACTTTGTGGACACTTGATCTGAGATGCATGGGTTTAGACCTTGTCAAGTTATTCCATGGTGTTAAAGTGGATATCCCTGGGGCAAGATTCATGCATCGCAGATGCATTAAGTCTAAAAGTTTCGACTGGTTATGCATGATATGGGAGCTTGTTAAGACTTGCAATAGGATATTAGGATTCATTACTAGTTTTTTGTAATTAGAATTATGATTTCACTTTTTGTACTCTGAATTGTAATAATAGCATTCAAGCCCATAGGTATGTTTACTAGCCACACAATCTCCATAGACAGACACAGTGCCTGTCTTTGGTCCTGGGCGTTTGATCTGTGATCGACCGGCCCTCTGTTGGTGGTGGGATTTTAATGAATGATCTAAGCTAATACTGTCGCCAGCTACTTGTTCGCATTTTCCAAGGTGTTGATTCGTCATTGCCTGCACTGGAAGTCGCCAAAGAGAACATTGATTTGAATATGATGGCTTCTAGAAGGATTTCATTTGTGAGACAAGATGCAAGCGAGTTTATGAAGGATGCACTTTCTAAACATGAAAAATGGGACATAGTCGTTTTGGACCCTCCTAAATTAGCACCTAGGAAAAAGGTATGTGTCATTCGATTGTCCTTTTGCCTGCCTTCTCCGAAACGTTTGTGTTTTGAACAGCATATGTTTGTGGTCTCTGCTGGTGCCCAATACTTGAACCAGGTTCTAAAAAGTGCATCTGGAATGTATAGCAATCTCAACTCACTTGCTATGTTGTTAACAAAGAGAGGAGGTCTACTCATGACTTGCTCCTGCTCTGGAGCAATGACACAAAGTGGCATGTTCCTAGAGATTCTTCAGGCAAGTTCTTCTCTCTCACGAGTCATGACCCAACTCTGATGAAATGCATGGTTTTTGAATGAGTATTTTAAAAAGAAAACAGCAAATAGAAAAACTAATTGTGTGACTACCGGTGATAGGGCGCTGCAGCAAAGGTTGGGAAGAAAATCACAGTGGTGCGCAAGGCAGGAGCAGCGTGTGATCATCCTCTGGATCCCGCATATCCGGAAGGAGAATATCTTACCAATATCTTGCTTAGGGTCGTATAGGTTTCACTGCCCCGTTATTTACTATCAGTCTATCATAGAGAATACTGAACCTCATTTCAGCGCACAACATATTTCGTTTCAATCTCTCTACAGTGTTGAGAATCAACAAAAACGAAATATGACATTTCAACAACAAACAGAGTCAGTATTTCCATGGCTTCTAGTTCACTAACAAATTTAGTGTTTCCACCCAGCCAGCTAGTGGTAGAAAGCACAGGTCTCTTCTTTCCATTGGAACGGTAAGGACATGTTTACTTCAAGAGTAGTAAACGGTGTTTATTAAGATATGTGTTTGTAAACGGAGCATAAAATAAGGAAAGCTATAAGCATATGTTTACTAGATATGGTTTAAAATACCGTTTATCATTAAAATGTTCAAAATAATCATATAAATTACGGACTCGCACACATTCATATATACACAGGTATATATAATATAATAAAATATAATGCAATATAATTTAATGTAATGTTTTTTTCCAAAGAAATAACATAAATTTATTGAAAAATACGCCAATGAAATCCAACCGAATAAGAAGTCCCTCTTGTCGAAGATAGAAACCAACTGCCAAGGTCTTCAATAATACCAAGATACTAGTTGAAATCACCCATCCACAAACAAAAATAGTCATAACCAAACATCCCTATGAAGAAACAATCGCAAAATTCTGAGGTAAATCTAACCCTTGATCTTGTTTTTTTAGCTTGAAGTGGGGCGCTTCATCTAAGATGAAGTCGAGTAGCAGTTTTGTAGTTAGGTCACTTATCCGAGAAAGCGGCTCCTGATCTGAATCACATCTCAAAGACTCCTCATCCGAAACATCATCAATATCAAATTGAGAACTACACTTAATTGTTTTTTGCTGACTTTACTCAGGGAATGAGGCTTGAATCAATGTTACTAGCATGACTTTCTCCCCATTACGCTTATCTTTCCTTGTAGGCCTGTGACTTGGAACCGTAAAACCGGGAAAACCGATCCGAACTGAACCGAATTTTCCGGTTCGGTTCCTATAATTTTGGACTTCATCTTTTTTCGGTTCGGTTCCTATAGTATTTGTTCGGTTCGGTTCCTAGGCAGGAACCGAACTTCGTACACATTGCTCGAGTAATTTCATTTGAGGTGCTTCTTGGTGGAATTTTTTGATGAAATTTTGTGAGCTTGTTTTTCATGAAATATAGATTATGTACACCAAATTTGAGCATAAAATTGAATCGGTAAGTTAGTTAAATAAATTATTGAAAAACACTACGCTAAAATATATATAAAACGCAATGTTTTCCAATATTTTATTTAACTCACTTCCCGATTGACTTTTAAGCTGAAATTTGGTGGATATTATCTACACTTAATGTAGAACATGCTCACAAAATCTCATCAAAAAATTCTAGCTGGAAGCACCTCAAATGGATGTGGTCAGACGGCGTTCCGAGCAAAAAACTCTTGTCAGGAATATTTGTCTTGCATAATATACCTTACATATTGTGGAACAGACAAATCTGAGTAGTTATTTTCTACTTTAGTCCAATTTTATATTTATTGCTTTTTTTAAATTGTATTTGTTATTTGAGTTTATCTAAAAAGTGAATTAATATTCTGTTGATTACGTTGTTATTTGTTCATAGTAAATTACTAATATTACCGGTCAATTGATTACTACATACTTTTTACTTATGGGGCATTACTAGTAGAAAATTTTATTTTGAGGTTGATCTACCTATTATTGAATGTGTATCTTGGTGCTATTAAACTTTTTTGCTTGACAGTTGATGCCTATTTTATAATAGCTCATAATATAGGGACATCTTTGTAATTATTTGACTCTTGGTTTATTATAAATACATCTCTAGCACACCCTAATAGGGTGAGCAATGGGTGAGCAATTATTCCACAATTACTATTGCATATGGTATCAGAGCCTAGGTTAACCTAGAGCTTCCGCATCGTCAATTTTTTTAAACTTGACTATTATTACTATTACTATTGCATATTTTAAACTTTACTATTACTATTGCATATTTTAAACTTTTATGTTTTTGCTATGTTTAAATTTAATGTTTGCACTTGGATATTTTTGTGATATTTGAACATTGGAATATCATGTATATATTGATGTAATGGTCATAATTTCATGGTTTGAAATTTGATTTTTTTTTTGTAACTGAAGGTAAAAATGTGTTCATTTTAGGAGGATAATAAATTTTTACAAGGAACCGAAAAAAAGTAAGAACCGGACCGAATTTAACTAGAACCAAACCGAATTTAACAACTAAATTTTTAAATAGAACCGAACTGAATTTAACGCCTACAATTTTAAAACGGTTCCATCGTTTTTTAACAAGAACCAAACCGATCCCAGGAGGACAATATCCCTATTAGCGTTTTCAGTCTCAGACTCTCAGGAGGAGATATAAAATCAATAGTAGAAGAAAGATAATCATTTAGCAATAAGTCCTCTTGAAAGAGTTAAGAAGAGATAGACTCCACAGTCTCACAAACCTCGATTGTTGAGTTAGAACAAACAGCTCCTTGATCCCCTAAAACATTCTTCAATGTTCTGTTTCCACCTCTTTTAAAAGATCAAATTGACTTAATAAAGTAGAGCTAAAGAGGCCAAAACCTAGTGGTTTCCTACTTTGTGGTATTATAAAAGTAGAAATACCCCCATTATCAATCATCACCAGACGAATAAATCCACATACATATTTTCCTCGAAATAAAGAGTTAATTTTCTAGATGTTCTGAACCTAGTAATTTTCCTCAAATCATTCCCCGATTGCAGACGACATAAAGCATCATAAAACCAGTTAAGACCATCATTATCAAGAAGAATAGATACGTTATGACCCTCTTTGATTTGACTGGTTTTTAGCATCATAGATTTAATTTCAATTTTTTTTTTTACTTTGAATGTGAATTCATTTCTGTTGACCTGAGCCAGTAGAACCCCGTCCAACCATCTCTCTAACCTGATTGGTGTCTTCCTTAACAAATTTCAGCGTATCGCAATTGAGAATTGGGGATGAACTCTTGCAACAATCCCACTTCTCAGAGTTACGCCATAATGAATCCTCTCTGCAAAACTTGCAGATTTTCAAGGCCGCAGCATCCATCTATTTCTCCTACAAGGAGCAATCCTCAAAGCCTTGGACGCCTGGAATGAATATCGATGCCTATCTTAAAATATGCTTGGCCACTTAGCGCTGATCTGGATACCCTTGAAACGAAATCAGATACTAGCTCGACCTGTGTAACCATTTTGGCTCTGCATCGAAGCCCCCGGTGCTCTGCATCAAGAAGAGACTCGCCTGGTTGCCGGAATAGTTACATCTCTCTGCTCGACATCGTAATTTAATGTAATGTAATGTAACATAAAATAATATAGTAGAATGTAATGTAATACTCCCTCCGGTTTTTAATAAACTTTACACTTTCCTTTTTGGGACGGTCTAAAATAAACTTCACACTTCCTTATTTCCTTTTTTGGCAAAGAAATCTATATCAAAACAGTGTCAAACAATGTCAAACAGTGTCTCAACAGTTGTAACATCGTTCCCAAATGTATTTACTTTTAAGTAAATATTGTATTGAACCTTATGAAATGGTTAATGAACATACGAAGTGGTGAATTTTTATTATTTTATTCGCGTGATTGGTAAATTGCGTGCGGGGCCCACACCGGGGACGGGGGCCGCCCGATATTCCCGAGACCGTATATTGTATTCATCTTGGTCGATATAATAGTTATATAATTGTGGATAATTTACTTGGTCCAAAGAAATGATATAGAGTAGACCGATTGATCAAAAAGGCCAAAATACCGGTATTGGTAATTTATCAGATAAAAGCCCGAAATGAATTTCGGGAACTTATAAATTAAAGTTGGGGGATGTGTATTCATTATACAGGTCATAATGATTGGAAACACATAACATATTTTATTTGACCCGATAAAATAAAATATATTTAAAACAGTCCGAAAAATACAACTTTCGGGACCAATTGTACACTTTTGGGCAAAAAGGGTTGACCTCCCACATGGGTGGGGGCCAACCCACGAATTTTGACTTGAAATGGAGAGGGTGGCCGGCTGGTAGGATAGGAGGTCATGGGAGGGGATTTTGAGATGAAAGAATTGGCATCAAACAAATGAGTTGGACCCCCCCATCCACACTCATTTGTTCATTAAGACAAAACAACAACCCTCACCCCTCTTCTCTCCCTCATCCCTGCGGCCAGAACACCCAAGCAAGAACTAGAGAAATTCTCCATCCTCCTTCTCCATTGTTGAAGAGAGCTTTACAAGAAAGAATACCAAGAAAAGGAGCTAAAGTGTTAAAAGTGTGAAAGGATTAAGGTAATAACGTTATCATAACTTTCCTTTATTTTTCTTCTATCATATGAGATACATATCATATGAAGAACCTTGAGGGTTGTTCTACATAATTTAAGTGTAGAATAATGGGTTGGAGAGTGGTTCTATGTCCAAAAATGGATTTAGAAGCCAAACCGACAAGTTCACTGGAAAATAACCTTTTAGAGGTTATTTGTATTGATTAAGATTTTATGATGTTAAAACCTTTTTAGGAACTTGATTAAAGCATTTTTGAGCTTCGCCGGAGTTTCGCCGGAGTTGGTCAAAGTTCACCGGAGTTGGTCAAAGTTGCCGGAATTAGTCAAAGTTCAATCGGGGAGCGTAGAACGCGCTTAAGCTCACTTAAGGTGAGGATGACCGACTATATTGCTTATAACCTTTGGGTTAATTTCATGAGATTTCTTAAATGAATACACAATGTGATTTGCATGAATTATTAATGGTTAATAATGCCTAAATGAAATTACTATCGAATATAAGTATAGTTTGCATAATATACAAATTTATTGAATAAATTGTGTATGTTTATATGTTATGAATATGATGGCATGATAGTAGTATCAACCATAAATCCCATTTGTGATAAGTATGCTTTTATTTCATGAGAAGAAGCCATGAAAGAATAAAAGTGATATTTTGATATTAAGGTCAAACTACATATTGAATGAAGAATTACATTGAAATGAGTAAATAACTAGTATTGGAATATTAGTTGGAATTGTAGTTGAATAATGGATGAATGGATCCTAAGAAATTGAATTGTAAAGAATCGGTGATTATTGAGCTGGGCTCTAGACCGATGTAGATGACGGTGATTATTGAGCTAGGCTCTAGACCGTAATAGTTATCGGTGATTATTGAGCTGGGCTCTAGACCAATGTAGATAACGGTGATTATTGAGCTGGGCTCTAGACCGTAGTAGTTATCGGTGATTATTGAGCTGGGCTCTAGACCGATGTAGATGACGGTGATTATTGAGCTGGGCTCTAGACCGTAGTAGGTAACGGTGATTATTGAGCTGGGCTCTAGACCGTGGTAAGTAATGATGAATTGACACTAAACGAACAAAGTTAACCATGAGATAATACCACCCTAGATTGAGGGTCTTGGAAATTGAAACATTGATTATACTTAGTATAGTTGTCATTGTACTTGTCAAATGCTTCCAAGTACTGACCTCCCCTTCACGGGGGAGGCCACCTCACAGTTTCAGGTAGAACTTGAAGGTTGCTACCAGTGCCGTTGCTCCGGGAGAATTCAGGAGAAGAAGACGTGGTTCGTGCTTCCTCCGTCCCTGTTTTAAAATCATTTAAATTAATGCTCATGGATGTTATCTTTTGAATAATTATTTGATGGCTTGTATGCCCATGTTTCGCCAAGTGTGGCTTGAACACTTGTTATATTACTTCCGCTGTTTTAAATGAATGTTTTACATTATGGTTGTTTACGGATGAACTATGTGTGAATGGTATACAAGACGCCTTGTACAATATGGATGAGTTGGGCTGCGGTTGACTATTCGTATTGTACGGCGGGTTGTTGACGTGTCCGGCAGGTCCGGGGCGTGACAATTTAAATGGTATCAGAGCCAGGTTCGTAAACTTCATAATGAAGCTTCAAAATCTCTTTTTGAAAACGAATTTGAAAACCATGAGCATAAAAGTTTTGTACTTATAGAACTTTTGATACTTGAGTTGCAAAGTCTCTAATTGTTAAGATGGTACCCTTAACAATTGGTATGACAGTGATTTGAGCCAAAGGATGTCTTTAAGTACCTATCCGTCACTTGACATTGGTACGAGTCTAATGACTCATTCTACTTCCTTTCAGAAATGGAGCCAGTCGGAAGGATCACTAGGAGGAACCCGACGGGCCGTGTACCGGGTGGATCCGAGCGCGGTAGCCGGGGATCCTCTAGGGGATCAAGAGGAAGGGGCCGTGGAGGCCAACACCAAACCGTGAGCGATGGCCACGTCGAGACGGAAAGTGAGACCTATTGGTCTTATGAAGATTCAACCTACCGTCCGGAAATGGAGCCGGTTGAGACCCCTTATGAAGGGGATGATGATGATGTGAGTGACGAGGAGGAAAGTGGCTCCTTGGCCAGGATTGAAGCGCTGCTCCAACAATACCACCGGGAGCGCGAGGAAAGAAGGGAACGCCGAAGGCGCCGTGCAGGGCAACCTTCGGGCGGGGCTCTAAGGGGAAGGAGTTTTTGTGACTCGAGAACCCATGTAGAAGCGCATGGAAGTCGAGGTGATGGAGGTCCAACCATAAGGATCTCCAAATACATCAATGAGGCGAGGGACTTGGGGTGCAAACCGTTCGATGGAACGGGAGACATCTCGGTGGCCGCGCAGTGGATCAAGAGGCTGAACGAGGCAGCCCTTGACATGCAACTCACCCCCGATTTCAAGCTGAGAATCGCGGTGAGGTTACTTGAAGGGTTGGCATCTAAGTGGTGGGATGGAACCAAGGGCAAGTATGGCGGGAATGTTACTTGGGAGGATTTTCGGTAAGAATTCTTTGCACAATACTACTCCGACTTTGAGGTGAACGCCAAAGTGAGGGAATATACTCTTTTGACCCAAGGGGGTAACATGACGGTAAAAGAACTTGAGCACAAGTTCAGGGACCTTGCCGACCACATACCGGAGTATGCTTGTGATGAAAACCGAATGGTGAATCACTTTTGGGAGGCCTTGGACCTGGAGATACGTGATAGGGCGACTCAATTGCCCAACATGACTTTCAGCCAAGTGGTTGCTCAAGGGTTGAAGGGAGAAAAGCAATGGGAGGAGAGGAAGAAGAGGGACGCCGAGGAGGCGAAGAAGAAAAAATGGGAGAGCCATGGCCCCCAAGGTTCTAATAAGAAGGTGAACCATGGGGGAGGAGGATAATTTAGGGCACCGGCACCGCCATCTAGGGGAAGCTCAGGCACGGGTGGACAAAACTCGGGCTCGCAAGCCCCAATGATGATTAGGTGCAGGAACTGTAACAGGAACCATGGGGGAAAGTGTCGTGACCCTCCTCGGTGCTACCAATGTGGAGACACGGGGCATATTAAACCAAATTGCCCTCAACTTGGTGGGAACCGAGGGGTGGGATCAAGCGGCGCTACCACGACAAGTAGGAACCGAACCGGAGCGCCCCATGCTAGTACGGGGCAAGGGGGAGCGAGCACAAGCAACGCGCCGTCCGTGAATCAAGGAAGGACGCAAGCTAGAGTCTACGCAATGACCGAGGCCGATGCTCGAGCCAACCCCGACTCCGTTGCGGGTAATCCCTTGTTCACTCTTATGTTATTCATATACATGCGTATATAAACTTTAGGGAGCGTGTACGGGTTAACCGATGACTTTTCGGCTATTTTTTAAGCACAAAGGTGAGTTAAACACGCCCAGAGACGAACCGGCGTTGGCCCGGGCTTGACCCGGCGCCGGCCTAGCGTAAAACGAAGCCAAACGGAGCTGGCAGTAGCTTACCCGGCGCCGGCTAGGGGGGCAACCCGGCGTCGGCCCGGAAAATTTACCCGGAGGATGCTAACCAGTAGCTTACCCGGCGCCGGCCAGGGGGGCAACCCGGCGCTGGTCTGGGGAAGAATTCCTGGTGTTTCGCTCCAGGGGATACCCGGCGCCGGTCCGGGCCATACCCGGCGCCGGTCCGGTGCAATTTTCCCCTTTTCCGATTCCAGTAGCTTACCCGGCGCCGGCCAAGTCCATACCCGGCGCCGGTCCAGTGTATTTTTACCTGAATTTTTTTTTTTGTTAAGCCCCGTTTCGATCCGGTACGTTGACTAGTGTGTCTTACATGACTTATATATGTAGGAACATTAAAGATCAATGGTAGAAACGCAAGAATTCTCATTGATACCGGGGCACAACGTTCATTCGTGAGTGAAGCGTTTGCCGAAAGTTTAGACGTGCCGTTGATAGAAATGACACAACCCTTGTTGGTCTCTACACCGTTGGGAGACGATGTGGAGAGGAAACACTACTACCCTTCGTGTGAGGTAGAAGTGACGGGTCAACCTTTGACTTGTGACTTCGTACCTCTAAGCATGT